TCATGGATGGGTCTTCCAGCATGACAATGACCCAAAACATACCGTCAAGGCAACAAAGGAGTGGCTCAAGAAGAAGCACATTAAGGTCATGGAGTGGCCTAGCCAGTCTCCAGACCTCAATCCTATAGAAAATCTGTGGAGGGAGCTGAAACTTCGAGTTGCCAAACGACAGCCAAGAAACCTTAAGGATTTAGAGAGGATCTGTAAAGAGGAGTGGACCAAAATCCCTCCTGAGATGTGCGCAAAACCTGGTGACCAACTACAAAAAAACGTCTTACCTCTGTGCTTGCCAACAAGGGTTTCTGCACCAAGTACTAAGTCTTGTTTTGCTTGGGGATCAAATACTTATTTCACTCACTGAAATGCAAATCAATTTCTAACCTATATATAATGTGTTTTTTTCTGGATTTTTTGGTTGATATTCTGTATCTATCTGTTAAAATAAACCTACCATAAAAATTACAGACCCTTCATTTCTTTGTAAGTGGCAAACTTACAAAATCAGTAGGAGCTCAAATAAACATTTTCCCCACTGTAAGATCCAGGATCAGAATTTAAAATGGCTTCATTCAGTTTAGCTATCAAAAACAGCACAATTATGCTTCAGTCTCAATTAACTTTATTATGCTAATGATACTTACTGTTCTGGTCACATTTCATCTGGGTAAACTCAGTTTTTGCTTTAATTACACTTAAGTAATCATATCAAAATAAGCTCAAGATCAGTTAAATGGACTCCTCCAGCTATGAAAACAGCAAAAAAATTAAAATAATAATAATAATTTTCAGTATCCATTAACTCTGTTTTTGATGCTGATGATGACATACTTTTTTCACACATCTAATCACATGAAATCATGGTAAACATTGTTTGCTTTGTAATTATTTAAGTAAAAATTATCAAAGTAAGTTCAAGATCAATTGACAAACTATAAAAAAAGAAAAATACCCATGAATCTCCATTAACAGAGTACTCTTGTTTGTCTAACAGTGTCAGCTGACAATCTAATTGAATGTGTTAAGAAGAAGGACCATCAGAAGGTAAGAGCAACATTTGAATACATTAAGCACATAAATACAATAACCTTGGTTTTTTTTACCTTCTAGGTTTCTCAGATTTTGGTTTTGATTTTTAACAGAGGGCAGAGGATTTTTTTTAACAAAATGGCTTGCAAGAGCATACACCTATTAAGATTTGATTGATATTTGAGTAGGTAGCTCGGATGTTGTGTTTTACAGTGATTTAATATGCAAGAGAGCGCGATCCATGTGCTTTTAGTTAAATGTTCACTGGGCCTAAAGGATATTCTGTCGTCTCTAACGCAGGACTGACCTCACCATTAAATGTCAAGTATCTTGCAGAGCGGAGGCAGAACCAGATAAATGATCCTGCATATTCTATTGACCTTTCACTCCTTCTTGGTTTCTATGGTGACCAAACAGGCTTTCTCTAGAATGATAATCTCTCACACCCAGCCCAAAACCTGTCCCCACTCGTAATGCCTCGGTACAGAGAGGAGACGAGGGGACATTTCAGGTATTAATAAGGATATTTGGCATGTTGCAATGGGCAGTGTACAGCACACAGCATCCTTTTCCTGCCCCAATATGTCTTCTTTAAATAAGCATCTCACTGCCCTTACAGCTGGACCATAGAACTATAAACAGTCAACTCTAACATTTAAACTCGCATGAAATATGCAGAACTACATTCAGACTCTCACTCACACAGACACTCAGGTGTGTCTGTAATTACCAGATTGTGGAGTGCAGAGAGTCCAATGTCTGGTGTGTAGATGGTGTCTTCTCCATCATCAGGAATCTCCTCCAAATGAGACTGAAAACTGGTGAATAAAAAAACTCTGATGATACTAATCTTTCTAGACTCACAGCCTAGGACTGGTGCTAATGCCAGTATTCTATGCCCAAACTCTCTCTGGTGTATAAAAGAGTCCTGACAAATTTCTGACAGATTTTGGGCTTTGTCGCATTGGAAGGGTTGTTTGAACCTATTGAGACGGTAACTGGCATGTTTGCTATCAGCCTCCAGCCAAACTTGTGCTTTTTTCTTTAAGCACATCTGAGCCCATCACTAGATTCTGTTTGAATGACTCTGTGGAAACCAGTACTTTTTGGGACTTAATTTGGCAATAATTAATAAGGCTCAGAGATCAGGGTACCATGTGGCTTCCCTTCTCTTTGGTTTCCTATTGTTTGGCATATGTTTATCTCAGTGTTTGTTTGTATGACTGGCAGTTTTTCTCTGCAGTTGAAGGAGCTGCATAAGAAGGGGGCAGACCTGTGTGTGCAGGACCCTGTGGGCCACACCCTACTCCACTATGCTGTGGAAGTGGGAAGCAAGGAGATCGTCAGATACATCATTGATAATGGTAAAATGATCACATAACACATGTCTGTAACAGCTCTCAAAAGCCACTGGCATAGACAACGTGACTTTGTCTTTGCAGTTTTTATGTCTGTATGTCTCTTGTTATTTCTGTTTAACGATCAATTTAAAAGCTGCGTATGTGCTGTAGATCTTTGAAAGAGTAAAGTAAAGCTCTCATTGTCAGCAGTCTCTGTCTCTCAATTCTCAAATACTGTGAGGGTCGAAATGCCTAAGACTACTAGTGAAAACTATATTAAATTTTTTGAATTTAATACAATTTCTTAGCTACAAATGATATTATTAACAGTAATTTAAGTGAAACGTTGATTTGGTTACCATGAATGCAGTGCAGTATCATATCAGTTTTACGTCATAATGTTTTTTTTGTTTGTTTGTTTTAATTTTTTCAACATATTTTAAACTAATAATTTCTTCTTTTTTTTTAACATTTGTTGTACAATGCCAGTAAAAGTTGGTTCACATCTACGTATTCTTTGCTATTTTTTAAAATGTGGAAAATAAAATAAAATCATCAAAACTATGGCATAAATGGATATTCTACATCTACATTCTACATTTTGTTAGATACTACATTGTTTTGGCTTTGTGTAAAAAAAAAAAAAAAACTACACATACATAACCGATATTTTTCTACAAAACAAATTTCAAGCTTCCAGTCCTTTAGATCAACAGGTCTCTATCATAAGAAACACATTCAGGTGTGTCCAAACTTTTGACTGGTATTGTTTGCTTTCAATTGCTGTTTTTTGTGTTATCTGTAGAGTGTGTGTGTGTGTGTGTGTGTGGGGTGAAGCAGGTCATCTCTCTCTCCCACGCAAGCTTTTTACAGCTCTTCATTAAGCAACCCGCCATCACCTCTGGGCACATGCTTTAGTGCGGTTGCAAGGTTTGATTTTTTTTTTCCCCCCCTCTTTTTCTACAGCACCCACCGATATCCTGGATGTAACAGAGAGAGAGAAGTAAGTGCACACTTGATGCCATTTGTAATTTTTATCTGTTGACCGTAAAAGTTCAGGTTCTAGTTTATGATACTGTTGTAAGGACTGGCTCACTCCGTTTTTTTCAGGAATTATCTTGAGTTTAAGATCTAGAGTCTTGTGTTTTTTTCTGCCTCCTGCCCTCTCTGTCTATTTATCCCTTTCTCTATATCTTGCTTCCTCTCTGTCTGTCTGTCTCTTTCTTTCTTATTCAGTGGAGAGACGGTATTGCACAAAGCAGCCTCGTTGTGTCAGAGGACAATCTGTCATTACCTAGTGGAGGCGGGAGCATCGCTCATGAAGACAGACTTACAGGTGAGATAGACATGTAGAGAAATAGTTCATGTTCATGTTTGATGCTGGAATAAAGGGATAGTTCACACAAAAATGAAAATTCTGTCATCATTTAATCACCCCCATGTCATTGCAAACCCATAAGACTTGGTTAAAGGTTGATCTTTGAAAACAAATGAAAGTGATTATTTTTTGTATTGTTTAGATATAAAGAAGCCCAAATTAAATGTTAAGCACAACATCTGTTCAGCACAAAAAGCGATGGTATATCTTCACAAGATTTGGATTAAATGACTTGATTCATATGGATTCGTTTTACAATGCCTTTTTTTTCCTTTTTGGATCTAAGTTTTGGTTACTTAGACTTTCAGTGAAGGGACAGAAAACTCTCAGGTTTCATAAAAAATATCTTAATTTGTGTTTCAAAGATTAACCAAAGTCTTATGGGTTTGGAACAACATGAGGGTGAGTAAATGATGACGAATTTTCATTTTTGGGTGAACTATCCCTTTAATGTTCATAGTGGTCCACTTGCATGCACAGAATGAAGCCTCATGACCAGGTCTGGCGTTGTTCCTGACAAAAACACAATGAAAAATAATGTCTTAGCGTTTTGAGTATGTTTTGATACACATCCTGTCAGAGTTTATTCCATGTTACAAACTTGATTTGAGAATTTAGGAAGGAATTATTTTGGTAAGTTCTGAATACAGATTCATGCCAAGCCGGGTCTCTGTAGACGTTTGTGGCTTTTGGATCTCTCTCATTTTGGCTGCAGCCTCCAGCTGGTCTCCATCCCTGAACGTCTCTGTACTTAACTGCTCTGTTAGTCACTGCTGACTAAGACCTCCGCATGAAACAAGGAACCATTCTTCCTTCCAACAGCCCACCCCCTCCCCCGCTCACCTCCACAGATCCAGCCAAGAGACTCGAGCTCTCCTGCCGCACTTCTGATTGGTGTACCACAAAATTACACACAGCTGTAGACACACTAGACTCTAATTACTGCCTCTCTTCTTTTCAGAAGAAACATCAATTTAAAAACTACTTATTTGACGAGATCTGCGAGGGAATGATTTTCCACAAAGCACAAAAATCTCATTTGTGGATAGAACTATCTGCACTACTTCCTTTCGCTTACTCACTCACTTTTTTTCCTGTAGTTTTGTACATTTGCACCACTGGGCCTCGGTTTAACGGTCTTCTCTAAAGCTCACAGCAGTCTAATGGCGCTTTTCCACTGCATGGTACGGTACGGCTCGGTACGGTTCACTTTTGGGGGGTTTTCCACTGGGCTTTCCCAGCTCCCATCTGATAAATGTGTGAGACGCCACTGATTGAGTCTCCTGAGTGCCAATGGACTCTAGTCTGCCTGACAGCATTCAGTTCTATCTATGTAATTATCAGTAACTCGTGTGCTGTTGAGGGAGATGAAATGTGTAAAGTCACCAGTCTGATACGGTCTGCAGACCGATATGAAGATTTTTCTCTTCAGAGGATTTCCCATGATTTTCATCTACCCTCTTCAGGGAGATTGTACTCCCGTAATCCTGATATACTCAATCTGAACAAGACCTGATTTAGCGGTGCCATTTTCCTGGACTGTGGTTTGTTGCACATAACAGCTCCATCAGCACTTTTCTGCCCTGCTTTCTCTCTGTTTCCATCAAATCTAAGGATCCCACACTCTTAGTTTCTTTCAATCCAGAAAACATCAAATCCAAGATATAGTGACTCATTGTTCATTGCCCTGTGATGAAGCACAGTCCTCCTCTCACTTCCTTTCCTCTGTTTCTCTTTTACAGTCTATCCATCTTTGTCTTTATATAATGAGCATCCCCATTATTATTTCCATCATTTTCCCCCTCTCTCCTTTGTGACTTGTATGAGGATGAATGCTAGTTTTTAAAAGCGCTATAAAAGTGTGATTATATTTCTGTTGGGCATGCCCTGCAGAGATCAGTCTCTTAACCACAAAGCTTTTTTTTCCTCCTGTGAAACTCGTCTCTTTTAGTTCATCATGGCTAATATTCTTCATTGTGCTAGCTACAGGACTCTGTAGCTTTTGACAGCTTTTCCAGAATTGCCTTTGTTTGCATGTGAAAGGCTGAAAATGGAGGGATGCAGCACTGCACTGGAAGTTGCGCAGTATGAAAAGGTGCTGGTGGCCGGTCGTACTGTACACTCTTGAACAAAAGCAGCTTCATCTGTGCCACAACAATGAAAGCGCCTGGCGGACAGTTTGAGTGCTCCGAGCTCTGTCCAACAGGAACGGTCCAGGCCTTTCTCTCAGACTCTCTGCTCCAGGCCTGCCTGCAATTAACAACAATTACTGTTGAGCAATGCTGGCACAGGCAACACAGAAAAAGAGAGGCGTTTTCTAAAAAAGAACATGTTTACCATTATAGACTCAGTGTAATCTTTGATTTCCCTTCTTCATTGTTCATGAAGAATCTGTCTGAAAGAAACGGTCCCTAATTAAGACCTGGAGCAACCATAGATGTTCTGTGTGTTTTGCTTCAGTTCACGAAGCCTGTTCTTGAACTTTGTATTTGTAATCGGGGTCTCAATGGACCAGAGAGCGGTTTAATTATAAATTGTCAAATTATTTATATTTCTTTTTACCTCTTCAGCATTTGTTATAATATGTGTCTTCATTTTCAGGGTGACACTCCAAAGCATCGTGCCGAGAAGGCGAAAGATCCAGAACTTGCGGCGTATCTTGAGAACCGCCAGCACTACCAAATGATCCAGCGTGAGGACCAGGAGACTGCAGTTTGACCTTTAACCTCTCACCCCTCCACCTCAACCGGTGTCCTCCTTTTTGTGCCAAAACAACAGTAACCAAAAATGTATCGCTAAACCCATCGCAGGCTCTCATGACTGCACGGTGGTGATACATTCCCAGAGAGGGGGAGATGGTCGCACACTTTACCGTCTCTGAAGAGGTCCCAAGCTTTGGTCATCATTCTCTGAATGACCTGTTGGACTTAATGCACTGCCAAAACATCTTAGAGTTTGTATGTATGCGACAGAATGCATTTCCCTCAATGTTACTGCACTCATCAAGCTTGCTTTTCTAGTATGACAATGCTGAATGTTCAATGAAATACAGTGAGGATTTAAAGATGCATGGGCTGGTGAGGACAGTGCTGTGTCTGTCTCCAGAGTTATCACTGTCTGTATAAGTGTACCTGGAGCGTTTACCGTAGCCCTGGCTCCACAGCTAGGTTTAGTATTGCTCTGTTATGGCTGAGCGTTAATCTGGTTAGTGGTCCAGAACATGAACCAGAACCGGAAACAACATTTCGGTTAGCGGAGTTATTTCCTAATAACATTAGAGCCATTAAATGATATTATGTTAATGTATAATGTAACTTTCTAGATTCCCCTGCACTGAAAGTGTTCAGGTTGGTTCAAAGATAGGAATGTTTTCTGGGGTCTTGGTTTGAAGTATCAGAACCATTTAGATATTTTTCAGGCGTGTTATTGGAAGGATTTAGCATTTTCATAGATTTCTGTGCTGTTTCTAACATTAACATGTTAATAACATTCGGTACTGTAAATGTATGCGAGTAGCTTTCTGTTTAAGAGGCATTTGCACTGTAGCTTTGATTGCCTTCTTTATTCTATACTCTGGATTTATAATTGATGTACTAAAATATAGCTTCTTTCCTACAATATTTTTAAGTAACTAGATGTTTATATAATTTGTAGCTATAAAAGATGTTGTCATGTTTGTATTATAAAACTCTGTAAATTAGATTTTGGTTTATGAGAGTTGAGAACAGGTCTCTGTAATTCAGCTCATTTTTCTTAAATCTTTGTGATAAAACAACACACTCTGTAAGAGTTTGTTTTGTTTCATATTTTTTTAGTGCCGATGTCTTAATGCAGATTCAAGATTTTAGGATGCTTATATTTATTTTCCTAAATCGTTATATATTGAAATTAATTAGGCCTTGAATGCATACATATTTAATAATATTAGTAATTTATGACTTATTTCAATTATTTACATCATAGAATGAAACTCTTCTCTCTCTAAAGACTTATTACTTCATTAATGATATGACCCACTGATTTCAAAGTTCTTTAAATGTCATTATACAGTATGTATGCATATTCATATTGTAATTTAGTAACACACTGTGTTTGGATGAACACACTAGCATCTTTAGTGCTCTTCATGTGCGGTCAGAAATTTTCAGCACTCTCAGTTGTATTCTTTGGAAAGACTTCGGAAAGTTTGAGTGTTTAAAAAAACCAACTATCCATCCATCCGTCCATCTATCCATCCATCTCAGCCTTTTACCCAGACAGCTATTTGACAGGAGCCTTGATGAATGAGATCATATGCCATAATCTCTGAACTCACTCAACTCTTTCAATAAACGTGATACGTCTTAATGATCAATTTTCTTAAATTCTAAAAGACTTTGAGTTTTAGACTTTTTTGCACTTTTTTAGTAAGAAAAATTGGGTTTGTTGTCCATAATGCATGGAAATCGTTTCTTTTTTTATCCTTTCATTCTATCCGTTTTATGTTCCGTCTGAGACCTCAGTGTAAAGGCTGATTGTGTAATGTGTATAAGATGAGAACACATTTGGGTTTTGAGTATTGGTGTCACTAATTAGCTCCTGTACTACAGTAATTAAAAAGCTGTTTTATATAGTGCAGACAGACACCGGTTCACATATGTGACCCTGGAGCACAAGACCAGTCTTAAGTCGCTGGGGTATATTTGTAGCAATAGCCAAAAATACATTGTATGGTTCAAAATTATAGATTTTTCTTTTATGCCAAAAATCATTAGGATATTATGTAAAGATCATGTTCCATGAAGATATTTTGTAAATGTCCTACTGTAAATATATTAAAACTTAATTTTTGATTAGTAGTATGCATTGCTATGAACTTCATTTGGACAACATTAAAGGCGATTTTCCCAATATTTTGATTTTTGTTTGCACCCTCAGATTCCAGATTTTCAAATAGTTGTATCTCAACCAAATATTGTCCGATCCTAACAAAACCATACATCAATGGAAAGCTTATGTATTCAGCTTTCAGATGATGTATACATCTCAATTTTGAAAAATGGACACTTAAGACTGGTTTTGTGGTCCAGGGTCACAAATGCAGTCTGGGACAAAACAAAGCTAGCAAACGGTCTGAAACTGTAAATGGGCTTCAAGCCAACAGCGCTTTTTACTCAGTCATGCCAACTTCATTTCTTTACTGAGGAATTTTGATCATTTAATTTTACTGTTTGAGATAAACAGCCTACAGGAGCCTCTCACGCTCACAGTGACTGAAGGGACTAAGCGACAATTTTGTGAGTTTTGAGGCTTTCAATTTCTTCGTAATTATCATAATCCTAAAACTAGAGTTCGTCAGACTAATAGACAGGACAGATGGCATAGATTTGCCACAAATGTTTGAATTTATTTCAGAACACTTAGAGAAGTTTTTCTCATGTACTGTAGTAGTTCGAACAATTTTTATTGTCACTTAAATCTTAGAAAGCAGTTGTACTGAGAGTATGAGATAACACATTCAGTTTGTTACAACTTTTTATTTCTTATTTAAAATATGTTAGAGCCTTGCTATAATACTCAACAGTTTTTTAAAATCTTTTTTCTGTAAAACTTCTAATTGATTTGGACTTTATTTGACTTTTATTGGCATGGAGTCCTTAGAAACACAGCAGCCTTAAATTACTTAAGTGATTTGCAAATATGTGTATGTCCACAATACCATATCTGACTATTAGCAATATGTATTTTTGACTGGCATGATGATGTTCTACTGCATGAAACAGTCCACATCTATTAACTCAGTGAAGTGGGTATTTTAATGGCCAGTTTTTATTTAAGTGCTGTAATTACCTCTAAGAGCAAGTGAGGTCTGTGCCCCTGCCTTAGCCCACTGTCACTTTGAATTTAGTCTGGTTTTAAGATTTTATCACCCAGACTTTAATGATATGGTTCTTTTGTTTTGGTGTTCATCCATTTACTCCGGCATGTTCAGGGGAGATTGTAAGCAATGCTGGCAGCATCCGATTACACTCCGCCCTTCTTTGCTATGATTTATTTTCATTCAACCAACAGATCATGACTATGGTTCTGTATAGTGTTTCGTTATAATTAATTCATACTTACATGTTTTCTCAAGTAGCTATTTACGGCTGGACCTTACATGTCCTTCCATTATCTTATTAAAAAGTTTTTAATCCATAGCTTATTTTAGCCCATCTCATCATCAGCGATACACTGTCAGCAAGCACTATTTTGCCATTAATTACTTTTCTCTAATATCCTATTTTTCTTCATATAGTGGAGACCCTGTTAAAGTATATTCCATGTTCAGTACTTCAGCACCAACATGATTAATACACACTCCATTTTGTACTGCATTATTACATAAGAGCTGAGATTTTCCAAGAAATCTCACATTTTTCCATTCTTATATGGCAATCTCCTTACTTTTACTTTCAAAGGACGAAGCAATGTAAAATGTGTGTAATTTGAATTTCTGAATGTGTTTTGTTGCTGTGTATTTTCTTGCTCATTTAAGCTATTTAGCCGTCATTGAGATGCATGAAGGCAGTAAGAAGAGGAAGAACTTCTTTCATTGATTTACAGGGAAAAGGATCTGACATTGATACTAATTAGTGTCTGGTTTTAGGTTGTTGTTGTTTTTTTTGTTTGTTTTTTTGAGTTGCAGTGCAATTCAAGGCTACAATTTATTAGAGGTTTTTGAAAAGGAGAAAGCAGAAGGCATGGGTTCCAGTGCAATATATTGGGTTTTAAGAAAAGTTTTATGAATATTTTGTTCTGTAACATATGGTCAATATCTATCTCTTCAGTGAACTTATTCTGTTACTGTATGATTAATAAAATAATAAAGCATACTTAATATTGCATACTGAACAGCAAGGTCATTTGTTGCTTAAAACACACGGATATCTTAAGGGATTGGAATGTGAGTGGTCTTTCTGTTATCGTTATTATCTTACAGTGTCTGTGAACGATCATTTTAAAGCAAAAGAATTAAGTGACTCATTCTTGGTTAACATTAGTTCATTGCCTCGCAAACTAACATTGAACAATTTTGTTACAGAATTTATCTAATTTTTCAAGTTGTGTAAATTAACATTACTGAATGCAATATGAATGAACATGAAATAAACAAATGAACAATAATGCATAAATTAACATTAACCTAGATTTTAAAATTATGCTGTAATTGTTGCCCATTGTTATTATGATGCCATAGCATTAACTAATGTTACCAAATAAAACCTTGCTGTAAAGTGTTACAAATATTTATTTATTTAATAAAATAACGTCTTCACTTTTTGGGAGTGCTTGTGAATTGTGAACTTGAAGTAATTGCGGGTGTCTTTCATTATTATTCCTTTTTGGAGTAAGAAAAAGACTAGAAGCATGCGTATGTGAGAGGAAGTGTAGAGTCCATTCTAGTGGCCTCTGCTTAGAAAGCACAGACTTCATCCTCAACTCTTTAACCTTTTCGACACTCACGTGCTAGTTCACCCTTTGCCCATTTGGCAAACGTTCCCATGACTTCCCTGTTGATCCAAAGAGGCAGAGAGTGGGGCGAGTTAGAGTGTCAGGGTTTTGTTGATCATTTGTGGTGGCTGTGAGCAGCCTTTCATTCAAACAATGATTGTTCCATCTGGTCCTCTGTTGTGAGACAGGGGTTTCACTGTGGAGAGCAGGGAGGAGGTCTTGCCTTTTCAGTTTGCTACAAAATATGTAGCATGTATAAACCTGCAACCTCTCAGCCTTTCTTTCTTTCTTTTTGTTCCTCACCCCACTTTGATTTCCTCCATCACCCCCATTTTCCCTGTGGTCTATTTAGTCATCTTGGAGTGGATGTGTGAAATGAACAGTACTTTGCACTCAGAAGTTATTTATATATATGCCTGTAACTTATTTTTGATCAAATCAGTACAGTCTTAAATTTACATGTAATACATGAAGGCTATTACAGGCATAATTTTTTTTAAAGCAAGACCTACAGAAGATGCGCTCTGATTGAAATGAAAAGCTAACAGAAAGCTATAAAAACATGTTTTTCATTCTGTCATCAACAAAAATGGCATCTGACACTCCACATCTTTGTAGTTTGCGCTCACTTTTTAGTGAAATTTCTCCGCATTATTGATCTGTAGGGTCCCTGTGTGTTGCTGTAAAAGTGCATGATTGTGCGACAAGTTGTATGTTCGTATAGTAAGAGTAGGTTTTGTGAGCTCTATTTATGAGAATGGCTTTATGTGTAGAGTTGACTCAGGTCATCGAATGTGTTTTGTTCTGGCCTGTCTGAGCCTGCAGAGAGATTGTTTATCTGACTGCACCATTTGTCCTATTGAGCCGCTGTTTCCTGCCCTTAGGGGTCTACACACACATTCGCAAATACACCCACATAAAATCACATAGCAGGCAAAAAAGAAGAGAATCTATAGCCTCTGAAAACATTTTAGTTGTTTTTAAAATGCTTTAGTTGTTTGCAGTATAAACAAAAAATACACATAAAACTCTAACAAATAACTTTTATGATTTAAAGAGATACGTTGTTAAAGCTAGCTGTTATTTGAAAATCAGGATATTACTGTGTTCATCGATACATAAGTATTTTACAGATTCAAACTGTCCTGTTTTTATTGGTGTAGGTGTCCTTTATGTGGTAAGAGACTGAAATTACAGCTAGGTTTGAACTTCCTACCAAAGCTTGTATCCATTACATTTCTATTGATTTTTTTTTCCTTTTTTAAATGATGATTTGCAAATAGTGATGCAAAGTCCGATTCATTTCCGCGAACCGGTTATTTTCGGACAGATCGGCTCATTGAACCGGCTCAAAAAGATTCAAGTTCGATTCAGTTCGATTTGTGAACCGGCTCGACCGGTTACTTCCTGCGAACCGGCTCAAAGGAACGATTCGTTCAAGAACCGAACATCACTATTTGCAAAACCAAGATGGTATTTGTTTGTAATCTTTATGTGGTTAGAGTACAAAAAGGTGCTGTTCTTGGTAGCCAGGTTTCTGCAGTATGTCTAGGCTACTTGTCTCTACACAGATATATTTGCTGAATTTGTAAATAGTCATAACTGGTAAATTCAGCATATATCGGTAGTCAGATATTTTGCCACTTTATATCCTCTGTTGAAATAGCAGTCATGTTTGCTTTTCTTTATTTTTTATTTTTTTATATAATTAGTTCTTTGATCAATTGATTTAGTTTCTTGAGTTTCCGTCCTGGGGAACTGCCAAACGTGTTTGTGAACACAGCCATCTCTGTTATCAGTTAATAGGTGGAGGGTCTTGCTTTCACATAATTTGTAGCCTATTTAATCCTCTTCTTCTTCTTCTTCTTTATCATTATTATTACTATTACTATTATTATTATAGCCTATAACAATATATTTATTATTATTACATTTTTTAGGTTGACAAGCAGGTCTCATGGCTGTGCCTGAGGTCTATTGACTGACGTGGGCTGCGACGTCACGGCGGGGTTAATTTAAATGGGGTTCAGGGGAGAGGAACCGATTAAATTAGTTTGGGGGGAAACAAAGAGCCGGAGTGACGCATAAAGGCGGTTGCTGGAGAAGAGTTCACACGCGAAACTTCAGCAAGACATTATTTCAGTGTTTCAGTGTGGGAACTTTCGACACAGAAAACAAGTGAGTTAAATTTGCTCTTTTCACATCAACAGTTATTATCTGACCAGTACTTGGGTTTAATATTTGATTTAGGCTACACCGTTAAACTTTTTGAAAAGTGGCTTTGGGAAGTTATAAAGCGAAAAAGTGGACATATAGACGCTTTTTTTCTTTTCTTTTCAATATTTAGATACGCACAAAGCTCGGAAAACAAGCATGTTTAAAGTTGATTCTTCTGAGGACTGTTAAACTTTTAAAGAAGAGCGTTTAGATAAACACCCAGTATGAATTCAATGGAATTATTTGATAATACTTTGATAATTATTTGATTTGGTCTAAGGGGTTTTTGTTATCAATAAACTAAAATACTATCCGTTCTGAGGTGCGCAAACAGTTAGACTACGTTTGTGCCGCGAGCATTGTTGCATTCAGAGTTGCATTCTTGTCTTCATTAGGAGACGGTTTTGCTGTACACAGGATGAGTTAAGACCATCAGAAATAATTTAAAGGAAAGTGGAAGTTGTACGTTTCTGCGTAGAAATAAATAAATAATAATTTTACGGAACAAAAAAATGTTTGAGGTAATGAAGTATCATCACCATGTTTTATAGCCTATATATATATATATATACTTTTTTTCATGTTAATAAATTACATATTTGGTATAATATGATCCAGCAGGGTTTCTTCTTTTGACATACTTATCAAATTGTACATTCGTATTTTAGTGGACTTTATTTTGCAGAAAATAAATTTGATTACCAAAGTAAATTATTGTACAGACTCTAAAACTATAGATAATATGAAACTACTACTTGACACTGATTTACACAGTTTAGGTCGAAATAATAAATTTCTAAACTACTTGAATTAGTAGCGGACAAATGTAAGATTTTTATATCACAGTTGGAGACATGTGAAGTATATTGAGTAGGCTACATTTACTGTTCATAAAGTAAAGTTAGTAAAAGTAAAATTAGGCTGTCGCAAAACCTCCGATTAGCGTAAAAAAATGAATTTTTGGGCATCATTAGGCATGTTCTGGGTCACCTCTGCTCTCAGTCACAATCAGTTGCTGGGTGGATAGGCAACATTGTGACTTGTGAAAAGTTTTTACACAAAGTAGGTGGTGGTCTGCACAAACCCATTGTGATGCAGAGTTGCTTGTCAGTGATATGCATGTCTTGTTTTTCTGTGTGATACTGACCTTTGCTCATTTCAGCCCGAATGAAATAGTGTGTTTTAATTTCTGATGCATGTGAATTGTGCATGTGATGGGGACAATGGCTAATGCCTTAAATGGAGGAGAATCACCATAATTCAGTTCTCTTGGACTTGCACAAATCTTTGTGCGTGTGCGTTAGAGATCATTGTGCATTTAATGCTCTTGGCTTCATTCGCTCCCTCTCTCTCTCCTCTTGAATAGAGTGGTTAAAGTGAGTACGGTCAAAGGCTGCAGGGCAGAAAGCAAGAGGACCACGTTCCATCTTTTCTTCTCTTGCTCTTTCAGAGACCCTTTTCACCTGACCTGCATTCTGACCTGAACCCTCCCACCCCCCACTCTTTCATTTATCTTTCTTTAGACACTTTCAGGGGCTTTTCATCTCAGAGTGGGACTAAGAATGTGCAAAATGCACTTTTATTGAAGGGATTACACATTTGGAGCTATACCACTTCACAGCACTTCAGCAAAGTTGTAAACATTCAACCTTTTGGCCTCTGCCCTGTTTTGGTGTGAGCATGTAACAGAGAGAGAGAGAGAGAGAGAGAGAGAGATTCTTTGGGTCAAAACACTGTGGTCAGATCAAATAAAACAGACAGAAAGTGAGAGAAGAAAAGTGATCACATAATATAACATAACATAATAACCAGTTCATATGAATAATTCTGGGTGGTGAGTGCAAAAGCATATTATACATAGACATGTTATTATTTATATAAGACACCCCTGTTTTGTTAGCCAAACGAGTTTAATTTGCATTTAAGGCTTTATTTCACATTACTACAGAGGAGAAATTGAAAGTGTTTCAGAGCAATATTACAAAGCCCTCTTGCCCCCTGCATAGTAGAGATATGCTTTTAACTCAACTTCTGGTTATAGGAGAGTTTGTCCTCAGGGTGTGTATATAACCTGTCTAAGATACTGATTTCTCTTTAAGGAGCAGGGATGTAGTTCCATGTTAATTTTTTTGTGTGTGTGTGCCTCACTAAATCTGAACTCTCAGATTCACAGGCCTCTAGTGCTATGCTGGTCACAGTTTCTGTCAGAAAGCATTTGGTGTAACACTTACCTAATGCTTTACAGCAATGGACACACAACCTTTGTGTGTGTGTTTGTGTGTGCGTGCGGACATCACCCAGCTGCACACACCCATCAGAAAGAATGATGGGAGACTCACAATGATTTATGACTGTTATCTTGTGCTGAGGTGAACTTAAACAGCTGTTTTTGGTTTAAATACTGTCTCCAGACGTCTCTCTCCTCCCCCGTGTCTGTCTGTCAGTCTGTCTCTCTGCGGTTTAGATGACTGATAAAGCCAGTGCTGACTTGAACTCCCTCTGCACTGTGTCTGAAGACTACCGCTCAGTACCAGCTCAGCCTTAAGGGCCTACTTTGCTTCAGACTTTTACAGAAAAACGCAGTGCTCGTAATAGAATTTAAGAGCTGTTGAAAGGAAAGACTCCAAATCTGTTGAAAAGTGGCACTGATAAGCGTGAAACTTTGCCATATGTCTGACTATGAGTGAAGTGGGTCAGAGCTTTGTGCTGTTTTCTCTGCTATGGAAATGAGTTTGAAGTCCAGCTGGTTGCGTGGCGAGGGACTCGCACACTCGAACACTGGGTGCTGGAACGCTCTGAAAAGATGTGAGGGGAGGAGAGATGACCAGAGGAGGGGAGAGAAGAGAAACCGTGTGTGTCCAGCGGTCCTGCATTCCTCTGCACTTGTGATAATGGAAGCCCCATGGCGTATGATGAGTGAGTAAAGCCCTCAAAGAGTGTGTGTTTCTGTGAGAGGATTGGGGCTTTTAAAGGGCTCTCTACCCTCATAGTGTATGAGATGTGTGTGTGGACCAAGCGGGTCAGAACAGCCTTGTTAGGATATCTAACAATATCCCCCCCCACCCCCACCCCCATCATTCATACACACACACATATATCACACAAAGAAGACTGCCTAATGAGAGATTTTGGAGAAAGGTCAGAGAAAAAAAGGTGAGGAGGGGGAATATTTTGGACCCGGAGAGAGGGTGAAGACATTTTTGGGCCAGGAAAATGGGGGTTGGGGTGCTCAAGATTTGTGTTTTTCTGAGAGAGGTTAGTCACGCTCCGCTGAGCGGCTGACACTTAATTACTGTTTGGAGGGAGTTGCAGGATTTACTGGGTCAACAGAATATTTTATAAACGGCTTTAGAAAAGCATTTAGTGTCTGAGAGTGAAAGATGGAGGGAAAAAAACAGAGGTAGAAAGCATTTTTACTGCCTCTGCCTATGGTGACCTATAAAGGTCTGGCGCCTGAGTGATGAGGGACGGCATTTGTGCTGGGACAGGAGTTTGAGTTGGAAGTTACGGCTGAGAGTCCAGAATATTTCACTCAACCACAAGCAGGCAGGGCCGGATTTACGCATAGGCATTCTAGGCACGTGCCTATGCTTGCTCGTCCAGGGGGGGCCCCAAACACAATGAAGAGATATATAATATTTTTGTTATACTATGGGATATCTACAACAGTAAAAGAACCAAAACCCCAGAAGACATTGAGCAAATAAATATAACAAACAATAGAGTAAAAATGACAAACTATTTCCATGTCTTCAGCCTTTTTTATGTACGGAAATCACGCTTTCTTTCTCCCGCTCTCTCTCACAGATGCACACACATAGACACGCACTCGCGCACACACGTGGAGATGCGGACAGAAACTTGTCATCAGTGCTGCGGCTGCCCCACGAATTTATCAATAAAAGAGTTTCGCAGCTGAAAAGCTACATGACATTTCTCAGTAGCGAGGTTCTTGAAGCAGTTCAACTTAAAGATTCGCTATTAGTAGACGCTGCTGCTGAACGCTGCTGAGAGACTCACCATAGACGCAGGTATTCACACGCATTTAATCTCTCTCTCTCCCTCTCTCTAATAACCGCATTAGACTGCATTAATAACTGCATTAGCCTGCATATCAATGGCATGTATTCACACGCACTTAATCTCTCCCTCTCTCTTTCGCTCTCTCTCTCTAATAACTGCGTTAGACTGCATTAATAACTGCGTTAGCCTGCTGCATATCAATGGCTCAAGCCTCTGTTATTAGCTCTAAAATTACGTTTTGGAATTTGCAACGGATGGTTTGGGATGAGGTGCGTAAAAAATGTGCTAGTTCAACACCCACAAGATTTCAGGACGGAAACATGTCAAATGTCTTGAAACAAATCTTCTGAACAATTGACGTGTGGTTGTGACTCCAGGCCGTTAAAATTATTAGAGAAATAATGCACTCCCGAAGTGGTTATGTGGCCACTAGCCGCGCCTATTAATGGAATGAAATGCAATTTGTTTGAATTCTCAAACAAATTAAGAACCTACATTCGATTTTTATTGACTGAACGCAAGCGCTTATTGCGATACAAAAATTTGTTTAGCCTATGTCACGAAAAGAGGTAAATCCGGCCCTGCAAGCAGGTAGAAAACATGATCTGATGGACCCTCCAGAGCAAAACGGCCAATGTGATTGAGTGAATGGACGGATGGACGGACACACCGACTGCATTAAATAGAAAGTGATACATTCAGAACGAGAGGCTTGTTTGGACATAATAGATGCTTAATTATCCTCAAAGACAGTACAATGCTGCTTTTCATCAGTCCAGCTAATTCTGGCTGCTTTGAGTCTTGCGTCTTACAGAGACTGTCCTCTCTTTCAACAGGAGAACAGCTTTTGTTACCGTTAATTGCTTTTCCTGCTAACAGAACTCTGAACCAGGATGTCGTCTTATTGACAAAAAAGTCAATCTGTGTACATGGCGAAACCCTCATTTGAGATGATCCAGTCAAATGTGAGATTGAAAAAGCTCTTTTATTGGGAAAAACATACTTCAGTTGCTTTTTACCTACCATTTGTGGTGTTAGTGGAAATAAACGTCCCACCGTTGTCAGTGCTGTGGGGTCTTCGTGTTTTTTCAGTTTTGAATGCTGACATGTTGAGAAGCAGAAGAGCAAAAGAGTGGTGTTTTAATACACACATTTGATAATGTACACCGTGTGTACACAGCTGAGGAGAGACAGAGAGAAAACACAGATGTGAGGACTGTGAGTCTCTGGAGCGGATACCAGCAGGACCGACGGACACATTCAAAGACACACGTCAACTCTCTTTCTTTTGAGTGTGAGTGGATGTTAGTCAGGGTTGCGAATGTTCTTGTGTGTTTGTGAGTGTCATTTTGGACGTTTATGTTTGATGATTCACAGCAACAAGCAAGTACAGTGGCGGTGCTTTCGGTGCCAAGAACGTCATTATCATAATCTCAAGAAAATCACTATGTATTCTCCCGTTGCAGTAGCTGTTACATCATACTTCTGTGTGATGTGTTTATTTAAGTGCTGTTGTTACATTATAATCTGGTGGCAGTGATAGCAGAGAACCATGCAGTCCTTCAACATTATGACCTTTTGTGTTTGCACGAGCCAAATCTACGACATTTTAATGCCAGTCCGTTGTCAATGAAGCTCTAATTAATCATTCTGAATGATCATCCTTATCAGCTCCAGCCATTCATCTTTAATTGGGAATTTGAAATACTAAAAGGGCAAAGTAACGCCTCAGCATAGATGGCTCGATTACTGTCCTGTCCTTTGATAACAGTACTTTTGACAGAAATTGGTCAGTTACTGAAAACTGCAGTTTTGCTCTGCAACAGCTGATTATTCTGTGTTTTTTCAGGATGCGTGGCCTGTTCTCCACCATCATCGTGGTGCTAGTGGCCTTAATGATCGTGACCACAGAGGCTGGGAAAAACAAGAAAGGTATAAAATATTATTCTCTTCCAATATTCTCACGTCTCTCCCCTCTTTCCTTTCTTACATTATTTCAGCTCCCATATAGAATTATATCCTGTGATGTCTTGCTTTGAATCTTAAGGCTGGAATACACTACTTTTTGGACAGATTTTGCCCCAGTTTGCAGGCTGGACAAGTCAGTTGCTGAAAATCTGAGCCACTCTGCAAATTTTGGGCATTTTATAGAAAATTGCATAGTGTATGATGGGCACAGGCTCCAATTTTTAGCATCAGACTGTGATTCCATCCAGCCGAAGGATTTCAAACATGTTATTTTTATTTGTTATTCAAGCATGATATTTTGAGCCAATTTTAGAATACATATTTATTGCTTTCATTTGTCATACTTCTTCTATAAAAGAGGGGCGCATGTTTGCTGTCTTAGGAACGACTTGTTACAGTTGTTACTGTGTAATTCCCAGTTTTTTCTTCTGTAACCATTTACAAAGTTGACCAGTGTGATGCCTAGTGTTTTAAAATCTATTCTGATTATAAAAGTCGTGTAGTGTTAGTGTATTGTCTGGGCAGTTTTGCATGAGTTTATGTACATAAAGTAATGCTGCTGCCCGTGTGTCATGTGACAGAGAAGAATAAAGGAGGTAAGGGTGGTTCGGACTGTGCGGAGTGGCGCTATGGCAGTTGTGTGGCCAATAATGGGGACTGTGGAGCAGGCACAAGGGAAGGCACCTGCAATGAGCAGACCAAGAAAGTCAAATGCCGAGTGCCCTGCAACTGGAAGAAAAACTTTGGGGGTGAGTGAAACTGTGATAAATCAGCTGAAATCTTTTCTTATTATATTTAGCTATCGCTTTTATTTTTGGTATCTTTTATATTTAGTGTTTTTGTGCTGCTGTGTATTTCATCTTTTTTCTGTACATTTCATATTATCTTACATAGTATATTGTAACTCATTTCATGCAGCCGACTGCAAGTATAAGTTTAGTAACTGGGGCGAGTGTGACGCAGCCACAAGCACAAAGAGCCGCACCGGCACTCTGGTAAAGGCTCTCTTCAGCGTCGACTGCCAGCAAACCATCTCTGTGTCCAAACCCTGCACCACCAAGGTCAAAAACAAACCCAAAGGTACATCCTCAACACTAAACCCAAAACTGACATTCAATGACATAAGGCCTCTGCTCGATCGTTTTGTGCATGTTATGCTCAAATGTTAGTATTAAAAATAACATTCAACTAATAATAATTTCATACAATTCTTAAATGATTTTAATTTTAAAGTCATAATTATTATTAAAAAATCTAAGTTTTTTTTTTATATAAAAGCTTCCTCAAACACACATGGTTTAACAGGTGTTTTAAGCAGTTGTTTGGTTTGGTTTGGCTGAATGGAAACAGTAATGCGTGTAATCTGCTCTGGTTGTGTAATCTTGGCCTGTTGGCCATGGTGGGTGTCTGAGTGGGATTCTGAACTCAATAATGAATCTCTGCTCATGCATAAGAGACAGATTTCTAAGTCAGTCCTTTCAAATCGTATGTTTGTGGTTAATATGCTTATCTGAATATGGATTCCAGCAATAATACTGTTGCATTATTTTAAAAGAGCATATGCATTTCCTAACCAGCGTGAGACGGGGAGGCATCGTCAAGAGGTTCGGGTTTACCGCTGGATCTGAATAATGAGATTTTGTGTCAATCTCTCCACAGGAAAGAAAGGCAAGGGGAAAGGGAACTAAAAGGAGCAAGAGATCCAGAGGAGCAGTAATCACCCCGTGATCATCCGTCATCCAAACACGGCCTTTTATATCTCTACTCAGTGTTCTTCAGCATGAGTGGGACTCGCACTACAGCCACAAACACATAGCTTTAGAAGACTATGACAGAGTAACAGCTGAGTATTTGACATGTTACATGACTGTTTCATGTGTGAGAGGGAGGGGAGAATAAAATACCGTTGTTTAGCGTGTGGTGCCCTGTCATTGACCCACTCCTCTGATGTTTCCCTCCAGCACAGATCTCTCGCACTTGCTCTCTCTCTCTACTATCTATCAGCCATGTAAGCCTCAGGCCTCTCATTCGCTAAAAGACAACAATCAATAGAACTCAATCAGACACGTCTATTTTATTACTGTTTTACTTAAAATTTGGTTTTGTAAAATTATGTAATTTACAGGATTATATTACTAGTGGGGTATACAAGTAGTGTTCCACACTGACAATGGTGCTGAGTTGTTAGTAAATGTGTCTGTAGGAAGCTGGCTGATGTTTGAATGTGAGTTCTGTAATCTGTGTGGGTCCATATGTGAGTGTACGTCTCTGCGTAAGCTGCTGCTTCAGTCCTTTTGCCTTCATATCCACGGAGCGTTCAGGAAGAATGGCATCCCGCGGCGATGATTCCATTCTCTTCAGACAGTACGCTCCTATTATCTCACAGCACGCGGGCGAATCATCGCCATGGAGATCACAAGCAGAGGATAAAGAGCGCACTCACGCAGCCAGAGTCACAAACACAAAACACATATACAGTGGGTACGGAAAGTATTCAGACCCCCTTAAATTTTTCACTCTGTATTCTAAAATATAAAACTGAGTGTTGTTTGAAATAAATGAGTTCTCTTTTTCTATAAAAGGTGTAGTTTATGTAAAAGCAAAAATACGCCAATACCGTTACTTTTCCTTTTGACTTGACTGTTACTAACAGATCCAAGGGTGACGGAGGGTTATGAGCATTGAACTGCATGGAGAGGAGACCGTTCCCTCTTGTGCAAACCTGTTTTATAAGCATTTAAGAAAGACAGTAAAATGTTGTTACCGAGTGTTGTGTGAAGTGTTAACTAAAGGTAAATGAGTGATGACAGTTCATTATTAAAGACACCTAAGCCCTCCAAATTTCTCATTATGCAAACCAATATGTGTGTTCATGAATATGCAAAGAATAAGCATCTGTCTCTCCTCCTGGTCAGTGCGCTTAAGAGCTTTATTAAGCTTTATGCAATAGAAAAAGAACCACACACTCTTATGTACACTGGCTCTTTAAGGGCAGTGGTAGATAAGTCAACAAATACAGTGTTCATTCCATCAGCTTCACTGGGGTAATAATCATTGACTTTGCCCTTCAGCTGGTACAGTTAAATGGGGGATGTCTTTATTAATCCCTATACAATTTACATTTTATAAACATTTGAAGTGACCAAAGGAAAGAGAGCATAAAGTCATTTTGCTGTATTGGTCATCTAACAGATGCTAAGGATTGACCTTTGCTATTTTCAGAATTGCAGAAGACAATATTTAGTAACCGATCAGATTGCATGATTGAATTTCTTTAGTATTGTTACAAAAGGAGTTACAGTTTCATAACTCTCTTAGAGATACCGATATTCCAAAGTGAAGTCTTCTTAGAGTTGCATCACAGTTGGGGATGCTTTTATAAAAGCATGTATTTGAATGACTAAGATATGCAGTGAACAGCCTACTTCAACATACAGTCCATGTGTCAGACCAAAGCAACTGCAAGTTTAAAACATTCAGAAAAATGGAAATCTGGTTTTAAATTCTTTTTCAATGGCATAATAGTCACTTAGTCTGTCTTTACCACTCATTATAAAGAGATTCAGAGCTGGTTTTGGAGATACAGATGCTATGAATGGAAATTTGATTATGAGGTAGAAACATGAAACCAAACCCAAGACGTTAAAGAGGCAAGTTTCTGCATCTTAAAATGATGCTAATGACTGAATAATCTCTCTTCCAGACCAGGCCTAATAACAGACCGGAGCGCCATGACCTCTTTGGTTTAATGCTTTAAAGTCTGTAATTGCTGAAACTGGCAGCTTGTTAATAATGTAACATCATGAGCCCTAAAACATCAACACATTTCTCCCTCTGTGCTAATTCTGACCACTGTGGGAGATCATTCCTGCTGGTTTACATGCTGCTGTTTCATCAGTTACAAACTGTGTATTTAAATACAAACTAGGCAAAACTATATTGCACCATGAGAAAACAATATCATGAAGTGGAAATCTACTAAATCAACATTGTGTTTAACAGGGGGAAATAAAACCAATTTTCCATTTCTCAAATTTACGGACAGTCCTTTGTGCCCCGATTTTAAATGAAATGCTTGAAATTGAACATCTTATAAACAGGTTAAATAAATGTACTAGTAATCTCCTATTTTTTTCCAAGTATATCACAAATTATAAATGGTTTCACCAGTTTTGCATACAGACAACAATACATTTAATATTTAATCTGTAAAATCACATGAAGATCACCAACTAAACACAAGAGGAACAAAAACATCCATACATTAAATGCAGGGAAGAAATAATACTTTCAAGAGCATATATTCATCATAACTAAACATATTTACACACCTCTGTACGATCAGACCCTTACAGTGACATTTCTCAGCTCAGTATAGAGTGTCTCATCCCATTTAAAGTCTATAATGCCTATCCTAATCCATTAAGGAGATCCTTTTCAATTTTGACCTATTCCAGAACCTCAAGAGGATCAAGCTAAGAGGATAATGATGACTAACTTCTCCCAGGCTGAACCACATGCCCTGAATTTGTCCCTATGAATGTAATGGAATACACAGCTGTTGTGGTCAGCAAGCAGCTGCAGTCTGTGACTTCCTTCGGTAACACTTTACTTGAAGGGGTGTGCATAAGACTAACATGACACCTTCATAATCATGACATGACACATGTCATGAATATGAAGGAGGTTTTATGCATGTTTATGACAACTGTCATTAAGTGTCATTCGCTCAGTTATGTCATTTTTAACGCAAATATGACTAACCCTACCCCTACCCTTACCCCTAACCATAGCCCATAACAAAGACATCTCAAACAATGTCATCTTTGCATTAAAAATGACATAACTGAGCGAATGACACTTAATGACAGTTGTCATAAACATGCATAAAAAACCTTCATATTCATGACATGTGTCATGTCATGATTATGAAGGTGTCATGTCAGTCTTATGCACACCCCTTCAAGTAAAGTGTAACCCTTCCTTCATTTGGAAAGTGGAAGGTGCAGGTGTAGGAAACTGAATCTCACTTGGGAGCATCATGCTTTCAAGGACAGTCAAACTTTTCTTTTTCTTTTCCATATGTTATGGGTTTTGGCTGTGGTATGTTCTCCAGTCACATCTTCTTCACCTCTGTATGACGAATGTGCATCCTGTCACAGAAGTCTGGTTTAGAAACAGTGTTAATACTAACCAAGAGGACTTGATCGATATCATTTGTGCTATACTGGGAATATAAATGAGTCAATAAAATCCTATTATTCACCAAGTCTCTTTTGGCTTGTATTTGCTGATATTCTGTCTCTTCACGTTTGGAAAAATGAGCCATTGGCCTCTCTAAAGCATTGTTATTGTCTTGATCTTCACATTACTCTAGTGCAAAATTCCAGTGGTCTTAGCAGTAGAGCAATGATCAGATTACTGGAAAAGTCATTTGTTTCATGACCTCAGCTTGATTTCTTCAGTGATTCAGTCTCTTGTCCATTGCTCCATCATCCTCTTGTAAACACTGATTTCTTAATACATAAACTTTTGGTTATGACACACTGTTTCAGCATTATGGGACTATGAAGCCTCACAATGTACTGCACAGTACCGGGACAGCCTTTGTACCTTCCATATCATATCTACATCTTCGCTGGCTGCTTCTTCCCTTAGTTCATCTGGTGCCAATGTTCTTATACTGGCACATGAGCAGGTTTTTGAAGGTCTTTTTGAAGGTGGCGTTACAGAGTGCATAGCAAGCGGGGTTGATGGTACTGTTGACGTAGCAGAGCCAGTAGCCAATGGCCCAGACTGTGTCTGGAACGCACGACTGGCAGAACGTGCTGATTAAAACCATCACATTGTATGGCGTCCATGTGATAATGAAGGCCAGCAGGATGGCAAAGATTGTCTTTGTCACTTTCTTCTCTCGTGCCGCCATCTGCCTTTTCCTCTTTACCTGGCTGCGGGCGATGCTGGCAAACTTGCGCGCCACTGTGCGGGGACGGTTCACAGGGATGGAGCGCTTCTCGCCGGTACTGTTTGGTGGGACGATCTCGATGGCTGTGATGCATTCGTCTCCCGCTTGTTTGGTGACTATCTTGATCTTGGACCATTTGGATTGAGGGTTGAGTTTAGGTACGGCTGTGGGCGCGGGTGTCAAGCCGGCCTCTGAAGTCACCTCACTGTTCGCTCGTTCTTTAAGCTCTTTAGGCGCTATGCTAGCTGTGCTGGAGTCGTTCGAGCTCTCCTTCTCCTCCGGCTGCACGCAGGAGTCAGCTTTAGCGGACCCCACAGACTCGTCTAGTTTGCCGTTCTTCATGGTGTCCACCGTAGAACAGGTATCCAGGCTAGGTTTAGGAGGAGACTGGTTGTTGTTGTTCTGCTTCAAGATGTGACTCTTGAGCAGACCACTAGATTTCTGGCCTTTCTTCTCCTTCTTTTCCTCAGGGTTCTGCTTGGACACACGGCTGCGGCTGGCCAGAGAGATGTGCACATAAAGCACCGTCATGATGACCACTGGCAGGTAGAAGGCAGCGATGGCCGTGCCAAACGTGACCGCGGGGTTGGAAAGGAACTGGATGTAACATTCACCAGGCGCTACGGTCCGTGCTCCGACAATGAACTGCCAGAACAGGATAGCGGGAGCCCACAGGATGAAAGACAGGATCCAGGCGGAGGCAATCATGAGGCCGGCCATCTTGGTGGTTCTGCGTGTGGGATAACTCAGGGGTTTGGTCACACAGAAGTATCGGTCGAAGCTGATGATTAACAGGTTCATGACAGAAGCGTTGCTGACCACATAATCCAGTGCGAGCCACAGGTCACACACAACAGGGCCGAGTGGCCAGTAGCCCTTGATGATGTAAACGGTGTAAAGGTTCATGGAGAACACACCGATGATGAGATCTGCACAGGCCAGGCTGAAGAGGAAGTAGTTGTTGACGGTCTGTAGGTGTCGATTGACCTTGATTGAGAGCATGACGAGGATGTTGCCCACAACAGTGACAAAACTGAGGGATCCTGTAACCAGTGCAATGAAGACCATCTCCACCGTCTTGTGCGGGCTGTCACCGTCCGCCTCAACCGCTGCACATGAGCCATTGGTGCTGCTGTTGTCACAAGTGAAGTTGGCATCACTGGATGCGTTGCTCAATGAGCCTGAAATACACACACAACACACAGACAATGTTATAAATGACAAAAATTAGAGATGCACCGATCGATCGGCCAGGGATCGGAATCGGCCGATTTTCCTCATGATCGGCCCGGATCGGTGACCGGCCGGTCAGTCTCACTTCTTTCCGATTCTGAGCCGATCTGTTTTGTTACCAGCAGCACAGGCAATAACGTCAGCCGCGCATTCTCGCTCTCATCTCTCCGATGACCCCTTCTCTCTCACACACACGTCTCATTTGCTCCGGTTAAATAGTGCTTGTATTGCGCATTATTTTAGTCATTCCCGCAGGTTTCGCGCTTACACCAAACGCGCGCGCACCACCACTGATCTATATTAGTGGAGCACACAAGCAGCTCAGTCTCAAACAGCTTGTGAGCCACCACAAATACCAAAATGAAAAAAATGAAAAGTGCGCTAAAACGGTCAAATACATACAAAATGATGTCAAAATGCCCGTCATGGCGAGTATCCAGTTAAACAGTCAGTTTTGGAACGTTAAATAGTTAAGAAAGAGAACGCATGTTGTGTAACAGTATATTGGGTCCGTGGATAAACTCTT